GGGGGTCAAAGAAAAATATTCTAATATGTAGGGGGGTCATCATTAAATTTCTGCTCTTTTAAGGGGGGCTTTCAATTTTAAAAATTTAGGAAAGAAAAAACTCCCCTCCCCCCTTCCATAAATAATGACCGGTCCCTTAAATAGGGTAATTATCTTGTCAAAATGATCATAATTGACATTCATTGGATATTTGTTGGCGATTAAGTAATTTTTATATGGCCATCTAAAGCCCACCCTTTTCCCCCAGCCATGCACCTTGTTTCCCCGGGGTGGGGGTTTCCAGTGAGAAATAATACATGGGTCACTACCACTCACTACATGCATGTGGTCAACTAGTAAAGTGGTTTGTTTTCAATCCATCTAATGTCTTTGCAATCCTAATCAAGAAGTAAACAGATAACGATAAAAAAGCTTTTTTGGTCTGTTTCGATCTGCTGTAAATGAGTTAAAACCAATACATATACGTGAACTTTCATAACACAATATAACAAAAGACTGACAGTAACACTAATCTCTCCATGGCAAAACTTTAGCCAATCCAAACTCAACTAGGAAGTGCAGTATTAAACACATATATTCACACATAGAAAGGTTCGCTGTCGTTTTACTTTAGTTCAAACTAAAAGATCACTTATTTATAAGACGATTGCCAGATAATATCAAGGACTACAATGTCAACCAAAATTGTCGTACTTACTCATTTGCATTTTCGAACAATGGTGAGAGCTTTTCTAAAATAAACATGATGAACAAAAGAATCAAACCACAAATTATAATCTATTAAAAACTAAATCGCATGATTGAAAAGGATTAAAATACATACCTGCATTCATTGTTGAAACTTACAATCGAGAACTGATGATTGATCATTGATGAATTCCAGGATGACTCATCATTTGATGTTTCCCGTTTCCGGTCCGGAATCTTCGGTTACTGCTCGGTTGATGGTCGGCAAAAGCCGCTGTTTCGCGAATGGTCCAGTGGTGGTCCACGAGAGTGGTCCACGAGAGTGGTCCACGAGAGTGGTCCACGAGAGTGGTCCACGAGAGTGGTCCACGAGAGTGGTCCACGAGAGTGGTCCATGGACCAGGTCCACGAAGGTAGTCCATGGACCTGGGGTCCGCGTTTTGTCGTTTCCCCCCTATAATGAAAGCATTCCTATTGGAATTTTATCCCTATAAGAATACCGTAAACGTCCGAATATAAGCCCTGGGCTTATATAATTTCATAAGCCTTTTTTGATGGGCTTATACATGGGGGGGGCTTATATATGGGGGGGGGGGCTTATACACAGACCACATCTTAGGTTAATAGTAAGAAAACACATACTATATTTACGGACCGAAACTGCACAAAAAATATGTCTGTGACTCCTTGAGGCAAAATCAGGACAAACTGTCAAGTGTTTTGTAATCCTTTATAACCTTTGTTTAAATAAATACATACCGTAGACGTAGACTTAGTTGAAATTTAATGCAATGTAGTGTATTTTTTTGTGTAATTTACCTGTATTATAGTGTGATGGGCTTATATACGGGTGGGCTTATATTCGGGTGGGCTTATATTCGGGGGGCTTATATTCGGGGGGCTTATATACAGAATGGTGTGAACGTTAGTAATTTGATGGGCTTATAGACAGGGGGGGCTTATATTGGGGGGGGGCTTATATTCGGAAGTTTACGGTATAAGATACAGCCAATAGTTCGCGCTTCAACTGGATGCCCTGGTGACTAGTTTACGTTTCAGAGCGCAAAGCTTCATGGGATACCATTGTTTTATTTGTGATAAAAAATATTTGGTGTCTTATAATATTGTGCTTGGAATATTTCGTTGATATTTTTAACCCAAACGGTGGAAAAGGAATCGGAAAGTTCTTAACATGTTATTCAGATGTCACAGGTAAGAATACTTTTGTATTTGACTTATTATTTAAGCACTTTAATTGCAAAATAATGTGGTGAATATGATTGTTAACTTGAGCCATGTGGGGCATGTGTCTTAAAATTCTGTTGAATGTTTGAATTTGCCGTGTCAATTTGCATATAAAACATACAAAATGCTGGTTTCTGGCAGTAAAGAACAAATGGAATATAGATTCGAACCTATTATTGTGAATTCTATACTAAATTTCACACTATTATTATTTTAGCAATATTTTCTTTGGCATAATTTGGCACTTTGCTTAAGAGTTAAGACTATTATCAAGCTGGGTAAATAATTATATGAAATAATATATATTAAACAATAAGGATTGGAATCAGAGAGGAACGACAGCACTTAATGTGATATTTTTGTATCGATAATCCATCTTTAATGTGCTCAAGTGTCCTCTACTGTATTTGCATTACTCTAAATTGATGATTTTACTTGTCAAGGGGAGAGTCTTTTAATAGTGGGTTTATAAAGAGCTTCACTTGTATAAAGTGATGTTCGCAATGATAGTGCTGAGACAGTGCCTCAAATGTTGTCTTTGTATATTTCAAGATTAATATTCGAGCTGGGCAGTGCTTGTATCTAGCCCTGTCTCCAAATATTGTTCTCAATAATCAGCAAATATAACCAGATTCACTAACAATATAGTAATTACTATGTGCTTTATCACTTTATATATAAGCATAATAACAACCCTCGAAATTCGCCTCGGCACTCGGCAATTGCCGAGGCAAGTTATGATTTCGTAGTTTGCCTCGGCAAAAAAATGCCGAGGCAATTCCACCCGTTGTACCTTAAATTACAAACTACAGCGTCTGTTCGTTTTTTTTTTTGCTTACATTTACAAACTACAGTGTTCGTTTTTTGCATCACTTCTTTGTTAGAATTGTTGTCACTAATTGTCATCGACGTTGGGTGAACAACAGAAGATTTCATTCATAGCTACGTACTTTACAAAATATTTAAATTTGAGCTTTTCAGCGTCGGCTGAAATAAAGAACAATCTTGATGGTTTAAAGACGGCACGTCGAGAAACTTTGTTTTATCTTTTAGACTGTCGCGTGATTACCATCAAGTTTATTCGTTAATACTATTTGTTGTTAATTACCACTAACTTTTTAAAAACATTTTGAATCAGGAATTTGTAAAATAACAGCAACTTGTCAAACGCCAGAATCTGCGCTCGTTATAATATTTGTTTACAATAATTTCCGTATGTACTTTACTTTATAATTACAACTGTATTAATAGTTTTGGATGGCCTACATTTTGGCAGATGCCAGTAACCCAATCCAGCATATCCCTACTCTCTGTCCATGGCCATGTCTCTGCTTAACATACTATACATACTATATATATTACAACTTGAAAGATATTATTTGCACTTCACTTGGTTGGACTAGAATACTGGGTTTGGTGGATAATCCAATATATATAATTATATATATAGACACTATTTAATTAAGACCTATAACCAGGAACGATTGCGAAAAATGTCACACTAAATCCTCGACCAGGAATTGAACCTACAGCCCAGTGCTTCTGGGGCAGAGCTCTAACCAACTGAGGTCCGGAATCGCAGGGCTATAGGTTCGATTACTGCCAGAGGACTTAGTTTTCACTTGGATTATTCACCAAACCCAGTATACATATTACACCCTGCATTACCTTGTATCAATATGAACAGTCTTTGTAATTAAAAATTTTCTGGTTTCTGATTGGCTAACAGCAACTGTGAAATTGTCATATCAACTCAATGGCTAACCAAATATGGATTTTTCATATTAGTAAAATGACGTCAAAGAGTCAATATGAAAAAATAACCTCAGCCTTTGGCTTCGGTTGATAACAGCAAACTTTGGGCTTGATAATTCTTCGTATCGTGCTCAACCTCATTCAATAATTGTTAAATAATACTTAAAAACTGTTTTTACATCAAGAGTTAATAGTCCCTTGTAACTGACTGAGGAGTGTCTCAGTTTAGGAAGCAAGTCTCCTGGTCCATTGTTCTAGTTTTTTTATAGGGTAATTTACTAATTACGATTATATTTTCAATAAATAAAGTTTTCCTTTTACAGATTCCAAAATGATGGATCTCTGGTGGCATTTGCATGCTGTGCCTGGAGAAATCTATGGACTTAACAAATGGTTTGTTAGATCATAATTTTGATTGTGAAGTGGAAAGTGTTATTAATACGGCTTTGTGAGAAACTCTATTCGCCACAACACATTGCTGTGCAATCAGAACTAAACATATGATGCGCCAAAGCGGACTTCATTTGAAAATATAATACTTCATTTAGAAATATAATATATCTTGTTGAAAATTAATACTTCTTTCAAAAATATAATACTTGAAACAGTAAATACATAAACCAATATGGAAATATATACCAGTGTCAAAATATAAACCGGTTTCAAAATATAAACCGATTTCAAAATATAAACCGATTTCAAAATATAAACCGGTTTCAAAATATAAACCGATTTCAAAATATAAACCGATTTCGAAATATAAATCGATTTCAAAATATAAACAGATCGCGGGCGCACAATAAGCCGCTGACCGATTGCAGGCGCACAATCAAATTCTAAACAAACAAAATGGCATTATAATGTTAATATAAAATCATTATAATATACCTGTATATATGGCGATGGAAAATGAAATATCTATTTTCATTAATGATGTTTTATCATATCTCGCGGTTGGGAAAGATATGTTTATCGAATTAAAGCGAAATTTATTTACTGCAGAGGATGACTGCGCAAATGTTTTATGCCAACGATGCACTGCATTCATCGATGGTTTATCAATATTATCAGGAAATTCTCTTTGGTCAAGGCCAGTTGGGGACACTTACATTGCTGATGATATGTGCAACCTGATTATAGAACTTCAACGAATGCATGACATACTGCAAGAACGAGTTGAAACTGCTCCTACCGAGAACAGTCGTTACACCTGTGGATACGAAAGAGGAAGTCGTCGAAGAGGAAGACCAAGGTTCTTAATTCCTGAAAGGCAGTTGGTGGGCCTTCGATCCTTAAATTTTACATGGAAACAAATCGCAGAAATGTTAGGTGTTTCAGAGAAAACTTTGCGTCGTCGTCGTATAGACTCTGATTTGCCTGTATGTGAGAATAATTATTCAAACATCACAGATGAAGAACTAGATAGGACAATAAGCTTGATACTTGGAACCTCCCCAAATTCTGGAGAACGAATGGTAACAGGAGCACTAGTGTCTCAAAATGTTAGAGTACAAAGAGCAAGAATTCGTGCCTCCATTAACAGAGTGGATCCTATTAATCGACAACTAAGGAATCATATATCTATTCATAGACGAGTTTACAGTGTCCCAACTCCAAATGCATTATGGTAAGCAGAACCATTTTGATTCGTATTTCATTGCAGTGATAGATATAAAACAAATTTTCATGTCCCTTCAACATGTCATTTGTTGTGGGGCCCCCTAACATGCCATTGGTTGTTTTTGGACCCCCTAACATGTCATCAATTGGTTGTGCCTAACATGTCATTGGTTGTGGGATCCCTAACCTATTTAGTTCTGCTTCACCAACATTAATGTCTATGCAGTATGTAAAATCACCTGTTTCAATCACACACCATAAATATTTTAATAAATGCCCTATATATAATTGAAAACCCCTGCCAAACCCCAATTTGGTAAATGAGGCCCCTCTATTAAACTCCTCTTATCCAAATAATTAACTCCACTTTTTAAAGTGGTGTTTGCTAGATTTAGTTAAACTGTTTTTAACCCATTAACTGGCATTGCACCCCAATGCACCCTACTTTTAGTATTTACTCTGTCTAACACCAGACGATTTTACTCGCAAGTGGTAGAGCACTGCCAGTTACTGGATTAAGCTGCAATAAGCACAAGAATATTTTACCTGTCAAGGGTATTTAGTCTTGCGCACTAATGGGTTAATCATGAAATTTTATTCTATATGTTGTCTTAATAGGCATCTGGATGGTCACCACAAGCTGATCAGGTGGAGAATGGTCATCCATGGTTGTGTTGATGGCTTTTCAAGGGTAATTGTCTTCCTTAAATGTTCTAACAACAATGAGGCACTAACAGTGCTGGAGTCATTCCAAAGTGCTGTAAACACCTTTCACTACCCTCGGCGAATACGCACAGATCATGGTACAGAAAATGTGGAAGTGGCCAGGTTCATGCTTCACAAGTATGGTATTACAACAAACCCTGTCATAACAGGAAGATCGATACATAATCAACGCATTGAGAGAATGTGGAAGGATGTGTTTGCCTATGTCTTGCAGTATTTTTATAATCTCTTTTACTTTATGGAGTCTCAAGATATTCTAGACCCAGACAATGAACTGCATCTTTTTGCATTACAGTATATTTATATTCCTTGTGTAAAGCGGGCATTAGATTATTTCACATTACAGTGGAATAACCATCCAATGTCAACTCAAGGAAATAAAAGTCCTCTACAGTCATGGACAGCTGGCTTTTACGAGTTTGCTGAATCAAATTATACAGTTGTAAGAGATGTCCTTGACGTTGACACCATCAACTTTGATCATTATGGTATCGACGATGATGGCCCAAGACCCCAAATAGAAACAAGTAATAATGTTGTTGTTCCAAGATCAACAATCCAACTCAGCATGGAAGAAACCCGAGCACTTACAGATGAGATTTCACCATTAAGCGAGGACAATGACAATGGTGTTCATTTATATCAAAGAACAGTTGCATTTGTCAATAATTTTTTTGACAGCGATGTGGAAAGTAGTTGAAAATATCATTTGAGGAAAAGTAATCCGATTATTCCGATCGATGAACAATATAATACTGTAAGTTTTTGTAAATTGCTGTAACAAAGGATATTACAATATTATAAAATTGTTGGTTTGAACAATAAATCATTATAACAAATAGCATACTGTACTATAGCAAAAGCCATAGCATAAACTGTGCATTATAAGCCCTGGGCTAATACATACAATTTCGTAAAGGATTCTGATGGGCTTATACACAGGGAATCTTGTAATAGGTGGGGGGTGGCGGACTTATAAGCATTATTAAAATTTTAAAACCTTTTGGGAAATAAGTTGGGACTAACATACAGCATTGTCAATGTACTGTATGTTTTTATTTGCTGGTCTCTAATTAATCAAGCACTTCTTCCTCACTACTGGTATCTCCATTTGCATCACAAATACTTGTATGTCAACAAGTCAGATATCTGCTGTCAACACAACTTGTATGATCTCATTCACGCTTAAAACAGTTTCAAATTATGTTTTAGAATATGTGACATATCTTCATTGGCTGTCATTACAAACACAACTCCCCTTAAACTATAACATTAATAAATGTAAATTGTCTTATACCAAAGATGTTGCAATGTTCACAACTTGATGAGGGTCACTACACATGATCATGCTTTGCTGACACGGGACAAATGTGATGAAAAGCTGTACGACGTAAGATGTAAAATCAAACAGGTAATTAATCCATTAACTGGCATTGCGCCCCAATGCGCCCTACTTTTAGTATTTACTCTGTCTAACGCCAGACGATTTTACTCGTCAGTGGTAGAGTACTGTCAGTTAATGGGTTAAAGGAAATAATCAAAAAGGTTACAACCTCATGGTTGCTTAATTAAACAGTCTTTTGTTTTCAATTCAGCACTAGGAAAATCATACAGCTAATGATGATGAACTGTGTTGATCAAAATCATCCAACCTTCAATAATCCCATCCCTGCAAAAAGCACAATCATGCAAATAGTGTCTATACATATGTTCAGTGAGCATACAGTGAGTACTGTACATTATAAAGTTCCCTGTTGTTAAAAATCTTAAACCTTGTCAAATCCACAGCATTCGGTTAGAGCTGAAATAAGCAGATCCCCAAGTTCTTCAGAGCGGCATAAATGTACTGGTAAAGTAAGTGTTAAGGAGCACGTTGATGATACAGGTCTGCACTTGCATCCAACTGCACAGCCATGGAGGAATTTGATTTTAATTCGCGAGGGAAACCCAATGGGAGGCATCTGATATGTTCCAGTAACAAACTTAACCACATGTCTGAGTGATAAATCAGGTGCTTCATCAATTCCTAGTATAAGAGATAAAAATAAAAGTTCATTAATTTAACTTACTTTTACTTACTTTTACTTTCATTAATTTAACTTACTTACTTAAAAACACTTTTGACTTCAAACATAAAACAACGCGACAGCAACAGGGGACAGTTGGGCAAAACTCATTTACAATAGCTTGAACTGCGTTAATTTCTGTAATAAACATGCAGTTGCAAATTGATTGCTCAGGTTCACAAACTTTAGTTTAGTTGCTAAAATAACTGGTTTGCCGGTCTTTTATCGAATGTAGAGCTTAACAGCTTAAGCATTTGCCATCCTGAAGCTAACAATTAATAACTATAATATTATAAAGCAAATACAAGCAAATACCCCCATGTTTAAGAGTAAGAATAAAATCAGTGAAATATTTAAAAATATCTTCCTCTTTTTCTTTCAGTGCCTGCTGGGCACTATACATGACAAGGAGTCCATCCAGGAAGGTATGTGCTGAGATCTCATAAATAGAACTTGGAGTAAACAATTGTTTGAACAGCGCAGGATGGTTCTTCATACTACAGAGAAGGTCGAAGTGCTGCAGACCTTCTTCCAGATCCTTGAGGACAGGTATCCTTGGAGCTAACAACTCTTTTACACAAATTGATCTAAATTAAATTTTAATTACATTTTGAATTAATAACCTGTTTCGTTTATATTTTAAGATACCAATCCTGGTCTAATGTGTACTCACAACAACCTAACTATTATGAAGTTAAGTGTGGTGATATTGAGAAAAAAAAGGAAAGTTTTTCTTTCATTTAACAACATCATTCAACATCACAGTGCTAGATGAAAAGAACAATTTGAGGTTTTGACAATTGACCAACCAAAATCAGTTTCATATGTTGAACTGCACAACGTCCAAAGACCAGTAATGAGTACTAACTTTAACCCATGAACTGGCAATGCGCCCTACTTTTAGTATTTACTCTGTCTAACACCAGACGATTTTACTCTGTCTAACGCCAGACGATTTTACTCTGTCTAACGCCAGACGATTTTACTCTGTCTAACGCCAGACGATTTTACTCTGTCTAACGCCAGACGATTTTACTCGTCAGTGGTAGGGTACTGCCAGTTAAAAGGTTATTATTGTTAGCAATGTAAACTTGATTGAAGATAGTTACAGATCTATGGCATTAAATGGAAACTGATACCTGACCAATTTATCTTTGTTGGCAAGAGATTCACGGGAAGGTATGCCTCTATAACCAACCGAACTTAAAACCATAAGAATTTCATCTTTGCACAATGTCTCTTGCAATTCCTGGTCCGAACTAGCATTGGAAATCTAGAAGATAATAATTACTTGCAAAGTTCATTCATCCATTAAGCCCATGCAATTTTCATTAATTAAGGGACTGAACCTACTGTAGGCAAATGAATTGTTTTGCAGGTGATCATCTTGCCTTTCTTTAGCACAACACAATTTTATCTTTTTTTGGGTACATATTTTTTTATATACATATTTTTATTTTATCTTTTTTTTTTCAGTATGATGTATCAGGAATGCAACATAGTCTCACCTGATTAGCTACATTTTTTACTGAAATGTCTTCAATGTCATCAGGATTAAGGGGAACATGATGTAGACCAAATGCCAAGTAATCATAAACCCATGGGCTCATAAAATTTGGAGCAGGACCACCTTGCACAATACTACATGCCATCAACAAACCAGCAGCTTTAAACAGGCCTTCAGTTAATGATATGGTGCTTGCGACAGGCACTCCATTACAAAATAGACGAATCTTCATCTGATCCAAAGTCTCTAAAATGAATTTATAATACTGAAAATTAATTATAATTACATTATTATAGCAATTGGGTGTCATTTTCATATGATGGCTTATTTAGTGATTACCTAGGAACAGAAATATTACTCCTATGATGAAAGTGAATAAATGCCTGTCTAGATCTATGTAAGTGATCTGATAAAATCACAATTATCGAACCTGAACTATAAGTCAATTTCGGACTACAAGGACATTGGGGGAGAATTAGGGCAATGAGTCAAGTGTCCCAACTCAATTCTTTTGACAGCATGTGTATCAATAAGTGCCATAAGCTTTTTGAAAGGGATAATACTTACCAGTGAAAAATTCTCGTTTTGGCCCACCATCATCAATTGCTGGCTCTCCAATAAAGATAACTTTGATGTTGTTTTGGGGCTGAAACCATTTACAACTTTTAGTGACATGTACAAAGTCCTCCCATAATCGCTTTCTTCTCACATAAATTTTTGTAATTTCTTCCTTGACATTTCTTCTCAGAGTAGCCAGGCATTCCACAATGGTTGTTGCACTTCCATCATTAGAAGATGATTCAAAAACTACTTCAGGTATATCCATCTCCTGCATCATAAGGCTTCCATATGTTACTTGGCTTTGCAAGAGCCCTTCAGCAGCATCTGCACACCTATCTGCATGCTCAGCAATTTCATCCGAAGGAAAGGACATGGTGCATGTTGGGCAGTTAACCAATGTGACAGGGAAGGTTTCATTCATTAGCACAGGTGCATCATCATTGGATCCAAATGCTGAGACAAACAGCACATCATCATCACTATTTTCATCAGCTTCTTCAATCCCGTCACCTTCGGTGTGTGCTTCATCATGGGGCCGTGGGCTTGGCCCTGCAACTGACTGTTCTTCGCCATTATCATCACTATTGCTTTCATCAGACGTGTGCTCATTCTCGTTTAGAATTTGTAATCCTGAAGAAATGTTCTGTGTTGCTCTGATGTATATTGGCCCTTGTTTTGAAAGGTACTTGATCACCTTTCCATCATAGGACTTGCAGCCTGGATCTATGATTTTGTTGCCAACTGCTCTGACGAAATTGAACTTCGGCTCTGAAAGGCCAGCGATTTTCTTTTCATAAATGTTGTTAAAAATTTGCCTTACATCGCCTTCGCTCATACTTTCGTGAATTTCCACAGCTGAAACGGCAAACATTTTTTCGTACAGCTTTTCTCTTTTCCAACCCCGAGGCACGACCTTTATGTCAGGCGATGGTAACATAATGACATCTTTGAGAATGGCCGATTTGGAACTGTTTCCCTTCTCACATTCATCACGTTTTCGTTTCTGACTTCGATTGGACGACTGTTTTTTTCTGCTTTTAGAAGCTCTATAATTCTGTGTTGGGTTGAACGTATTTGTTCGCGCTACACGGTCAGGATCAGCATCTAATCTGCTGGTAGTCACAGACGATTGGGACAAACTTGACTGGTTGTTTTGTCTCACTGAAGCAACGCTAGGAAACAAGTGATTTATTTCACTCTCCACTGATTCATTCCTTTCACGGTTTTGATTAGTTCCGGTGCCATTATTTGCAGATCTAATATTTTCAACTGCATTTATTAAACGGTTCAATAGCTGCTCCGCCATGCTTCCAGCTCGCTTTGTTTTTGTTAAATTTATTTCCCGCCAATTCAGTGCTTCCATTTTCAAAATCAAAATTTCCCATTTTTGTCATCAAATTTTCTCTAAATTCTCCTTAGATTGAATACGTTATTTCCTTGAAATTTCCTTGAAATTTTATTAAGCAGTTTGCAGTGATTTTGTAGCAATACAAAGGATTTAATTAATTAATTTTAAAGGCAAAAAATAGGACAATTAACACAGATGTGGGCTAGCTAAAAATCACAGGCTATTATACTATTTAAATATTAAATATTTGTTATGAGTTTACAACATATACATTTCCACTGATATAATTAATTAACTTTTCAAAGTGTTTGGCGCCAAAAGTTACTAAATCCCATCGCTCAAAAACTTTCGTATGTTTTCGGAGACATGAAGAAAAAGTTATAAACAGATTTTTAATTAAACGTAATTGATAATTCACTCAATAATAAAAAAAAATGGTGAAACCTTCTTCTGCACCAATGCACTTGGATGAATATCTAAGTTTTTCGGAAAAATCCTTAGATTTCCTTAGATTTTTTCTCTTCCTTAGATTTTCCTTTCGACCATAGAATTTCCTTAGAAAAGGAAATTTTATTGAAAATGGAAGCACTGCGCCAATTACGTATAACTTGCGCCTGCAATCGGTCAGCGGCTTATTGTGCGCCCGCGATCGGTTTATATTTTGAAACCGGTTTATATTTTGAAATCGATTTATATTTCGAAATCGGTTTATATTTTGAAACCGGTTTATATTTTGAAATCGGTTTATATTTTGAAATCGGTTTATATTTTGAAACCGGTTTATATTTTGAAACCGGTTTATATTTTGACACCGGTATATATTTTGACACCGGTATATATTTCCATATTGGTTTATGTATTTACTGTTTCAAGTATTATATTTTTGAAAGAAGTATTAATTTTCAACAAGATATGTTATATTTCTAAATGAAGTATTATATTTTCAAATGAAGTATTTTTGTCCGCTTTGGCGCGTCATATTTTTCTACGTTATAAAAACGGAAACCTTATTTTGAAGTATACTATCTAGCGATCACCAATCTTAAAGTGGAAGTCAAGTCCATTCTGCGCATCGGGTCTGCGCATAACAATGTGAGGACCTCTAATGTGAAAATTGCCCAAATATCAAATTTTTTCGAATTTTTCTGAACATAAACTTTATTTCATATTCATTTAGAAGCATAGCAAACCAAAATGGTGTTAGATATTCAGACAGTACATCATATTTTAAAAAATACAGCAGTTCAAAATGTAAACAAACCGTTTGTTTACATTACGGACTTGACTTCCCTTTAAATAAGGAAGGATTCGTATAAACAGTCAATTTGCAATAAGCCGCGGCTAAAATAAGCCCAGGCTAGCTTGAAAGCTAGGCCTAAATAAGCAGCGGCTTATTGGAAATTGACTGTTTATACGGTTGTTCGCGACTTACTTAAACCGCGGCTTATTTAGGCCGGGACTTATTTTCGCTCGTGGCAGTGGCGTAACGTTATATCAGGGGGCCCCCGGTTCAAAATTTTCGAAGGCCCCCTAGTAGAAGTGCCAAAGGCACGAGTCGAGCACCATATATGCACAAAGTTTTCTAGGGGGTCCAGGGCATGCTCATCCGGAAAATTTTTGAATCTAGACTCTCTGAAATGCCATTTCCTGGACTTTGGGGAGAGATTTTACAGAATTCTGATGGTCAGAAAATAACATTGTAACATATCAGAGGCCCTGGCCAATGTTCTTGCTCTATCGCCTAAGCTTGGGGGCCCCCATTTGGCCCATTGGGGTTGGGGGCCCCCGGGTTCTCCCGGTCTGAGCCCATAGTAATTACGCCACTGGCTCGTGGCCCTATTGAACTGATGGACTGTAACTTGGACCTGATGGACTGTAACATTCTTGAACTGATGGACTGTAACATTCAGTTTTCTTAGACATTTGTAAATGTTTCATGCAAATTGAACCAAAATTTAATCGATTTGTCCTTGGCGGCTTGGCCAATGACCATTAACTTCACAAATTCTGTATGAGTACGTTTGATATTTTCTTAGTTATCCTCATAGTTATCCTGCTGACAAACATGGGCGTATGGGCCTAATCTTTTTTTTTGGGGGGGGGGCACATTATAGTTTGCCCGAACATTAATATTTTCCCCAAAAATTGTTGGCGAGTGGGGGGAGGGGGAGGAGGTCACCAAAAAAATTTTTCCCGAACATATCAAAAAAAAATTTCCGCACATTTCAGAAAATTTTCCGCAACATCACGTAATTTTCGCGAAATACAAAATTTTTTTGCACAGCATATCAAAATTTTCCCGAAATTTTTATGTCTTGCCCGAATTTCGCATTGATTTTTACCCGACCGTAAAAATTGGGGGGGGGGCACGTGCCCCCCCCGGCCCATTCGCCCATGCTGACAAACACACACACGTGACACAAACACACACACACTACAAACCCTGGTGAAAACCTATCGAAGTGAACAAGTTTGCGTTTAGCACTTTATTTAGGGTTGCATGGGGCTCTCGGCACTTGCGATCTTCAGACTTCAGAGAGCGAGCAACCGAGGATACGTCCTCTCGTAAGGCCCGTTTTCATGACAATCATGCAATTTTTGCTACGATTTCTAATGCGATTTTTTCCGTCTGATGGATGTGAACGAGTAGATGAGTTATGAATGTTCTGAGTACATGTCAGTACCCTCATCTGAATCACAGAATAGGAAGGTATAGCAGAAGCGTAACTCAAGCAAGTATTTGTCCGCATTTTTACAAGCGATTCGTGACATTCGTCATAACCGGCACTTTGTACCTACCAAAACCTGATAAAAACTTCCGGCTGTACTAGCCAGGATGGCGTGGATTGGCGTGAGCGAGCTAAAATTTTCGTGGACGTCAGGGACGGAAAACGACTAGAGTTACGCTTCTGCTATAACTTCCTATTCTGTGTCTGAATTCTGAACATTCATAACTTATCCACTCGTTCACATGCATCGGAAGAAGAAAATCGCACCTAAAATTGCAAGTGTAAACGAGCCTGTACGGATATTTGGGATTCGCACATATATGTGCTGGCGCTCGGTAGGGTTTGTTAGCGTTAGGCTGGATACGTTTAGGGTGTCATACGATCCAAATATCCGCGCAGGATGAAGTTTACGAATCCAAAATATCCGTGCATAATGAAGTACCTATAGGCTATATCAGTGGCGAGAACTCCAGTGGGGTCTCCAGTGGCTGGAATCATCGAGACTGATGCTGAACAACAAAATTGATGATAATTTATTCTGTAGACGTATCAAAATACACGTCGATGTTTTCACATGGAAAACTTCACGACATCTTGGTGTACGACAAGTTCGCAGTCTTTAAACTGTCCCGACGCATGTATTTCCTCAAGTACAGAATCTTTGAAAAAACTCTGAACATAAGCCTCAATAATCCAACTGTAGAATTCACTGTCGTCCTCCGGGAAGGCGGAACGGTCTAATTCATAAATACAGTAGCTTTGAAATCCCCTCACTAGACACAGCGTTTCTGCTTTGTTCGTTATTTCATCTTTAGATAATGGTTGTGTTGTCATAATATAAACTTTGATTTCGTCTTCTACAAGTGTTTCGTGTCTGTTACGATCAAGTTCTTCATCGGCTGTCTTGGTGCTGTTCACTCGAAAACAACCAACCTGGACATATTACGAAATATTTAATTGGTTGTAGTCAGGGTATACTAAAGTAAGGGGCGGACCGTTAGAAAAGTGATGGGGGGGGGGCACTTTTTCAACTTGTACGAATATTTTTTTAAATTTTTCAGCTTATGTCAATAATTTTTTTAAATATAATCCCTAGCTTGCACGAATCTGTTTTTTATTTCAACTTATAATATTTCCTATTGAAAAGTCTCTGCACAAATTTTTTTTTCAAATTTTCTTGGTGCACGAATTTTTTTTCTTTCCGTTTCCCCTGCGCGATTTTTAGTTTTGCTCCCCCGCCCCGGCCCAATCACTTTTCTAATTAAGTGCTCTGGTTTCATAGCCATATCAGCTAAATTAAATTTATGGATCGGCTGCACCCGCATCCGTACAATAGTTAGTATTGTAAATTGCAATCGAATTCATTCCAAAAGCGGAACTGTAATCCATGGTGCTTTAAAATATGCGACATGACACATTTTTAGAAAATGTATACAGTACAGCACATTATAATACAATCAAGAGTACGCCCGTTTATAGAGAATATATAAGAAAATATTTATAAGACATATGTCTGTATACTGTACCTGTGCTGTAAAAATGTTAACTCTTGGTCTGCTTAAAGAGGCTGCATTAAGACCGTGGGGAAAGGCACCTTGTATAGCCTTTATTGCATCCCACCAAGTCTTAGAGATTAAAACAAAATCGTTTGAATCATCTTTGGCATTCACTTTCTGTGATAAAACAACAGAGTTAATACCACGTGCTTGCAAGGCTTTAGCCAATGGAATCCAAGTTTCTTGAAACAGTTCTTCACCGATTGTTAGTCTTGTCCTAAAACAAATGAACTGTACCCATTGGTCGGTTTTGCGTTCTCCCATTAAGCAAGAAGTTTGTAATTACCCATGATTCGAGTCTTAAGGAACGTTTCGTGACGTCATTAATTTAATAGTCGCAAGTTGCAAGTGCATGCGCGAGGCGATATTCGCGTGGAGGGAACGGAAAATATATTCAGCAATCTGATTGGTTGATGACAGAATTCGTGGCGAAAAAGTGTCACCTTCGCTTTGCGCGAAAATGTTGCCTAATGAAATTCGAAAACCAGCTTAAATTTTTTCATGAGCATGCCTAGTAGTGGATAATTTTCAAAGTTCATTGCAGGCAAATGGGACTGCAGTGATTAGATAGCTTAAGATCTACGACGTCGACGTCAGCTAGGACGTCAGGGCTAAGCAGAGGACTGGGACTAGGATGTCGTCCTAAATAAGTAGATAGCTAAATACCTACGACGTCAAATATTTAGGGCGACAAGCGGAATAAAATTGGTAATAGTTTTTGAAGTGTACATGTGTTTCCCTCAACTTGCTCGTCGTCTACCAAACGTCGACAACCTCACAACAAGAGTTTTACCGTCGTGGATACAAGCTAGAGCACAACAAACGGTAATGAATTCATGTGTCTCTTTAAAATTCATTTTCAAAAGAATGTAAATATTTATAGTTTAAATGTCGATGTTGTGAATCTTAATTAAGTGGAAGTTTATTTATTTAGAACGTCCTAGTCCCAGTCAGCAGAGGCTTAGCCCTGACGTCCTAGCTGACGTTGACGTCGTAGATCTTAAGCTATCTATTGTGTTAGGGGGGAAGAACATATTAAATTAGTAAAAATACAATATTATATATACTGGAGCCAGACGTTTTCGTTAATGGGGATCTTCGATATTTTCCACACCCTACATCCAGTGAAGTGTCTTTGAGTGAACACACAATGCCATCATATTCTGGTGTCATGAAGTTCTCATAGAATCTTGTACTCAAGTTTCTTCTTCTGCGTAGCTACGCGGACATTGTTTGCGCAATAGTGGTTGTGTAGATGGAAATTTCGAGTGTAAATTTTAATATACAATTTTAGACCTAACCGCATGATTTTGTGGTTAAAGGCTTTTAAAAGCACAACTAAACTCTGTAGCTCAGTTGGTTAGAGCACTGCGTTGGAATCGCGGGGCTGCAGGTTCGCGATTCCTGCCAGAGGGTCTATAATCGCATTTTTGGCAGCTGTCCTGCATGGTTAGGTCTAAAAATTTCCGTCTACAAAAATCCTTCAACATTCAGTTCTAGCAAGTGAGATGCCAAAACAGCCTCATATTTAATCTTGTCAAAACATTTTTTATATCTTTTGCGACAGTCTGATATGGTTAGAGAAAACAGAAAATATGGTTAATAACAGTACAGTAGTTTGATCATGTGTCCTTTTTACGAAGCTCCTTCGCGTAAATATCATCAGGCCTATACTTTCCCGGTCTGAAGCATAATATAAATCCAATACACCCTTTCGATAATACGTCACATATACTTTTTGGTCTTGGAGCCTCGCTCTCATCAGTATATTACGCAAGGTGATTGGCTCACGATTCATGAGAGCGAGGCTCCCAGGCCAAATGACGTAATTATCGAAAGGGTGTATTGTAAGTTACGGGATATGTTAAAAACCGCTACCTACAGCGCGTTTCAACTGTAAAGCCAGTTTACAATACGTTTGACTTGTGGCGTACTCATAAGAACTAAAATAATTTCTTGAAGAAATACCTTTCCTGCGGCTTATACTTGGGACATTGGAATTTATATTTGGTAAAGTAATTGCCCTCGATAACTATTAAAAAACTGCATAATTACCAACAAGTAGTGCATCAGAAAGCAACCCAGACACATTTCCCCCTGCTTATACTTTTATTAAATTAACTAGGAAGTTCAAACAATTAGCATGCAAACCTCAAAAATATGAATGCAGCGTTCACCAGGTTAGTCTGATAATTAAACTAGAAAAAGACCATTGACATTTGATTTCGCTCGAAGACATTCGTAAGGTCATTGACGTCACCGTCTATTTTTAGAACAGTAATCCCACGTTCGCCATTCCACGCAGAGTGCATATCCATCACCTTGACCGCGTGTAATTTCTCAAATATGTTTCTAAGCATTTGGGAAGGACTTGTAGAGATGGGAAAGAAGTGTAGTTTATCAACAAGTGAAACAGGAGAGGAAAAGAGACAGTCGCCAACTTGAAGCAGTGCAGGTGTGTTGGATCCAAATATCGTTCCAGTTAAAGTAATGTTGCTTTCGTCTGAATATTCCACCTTCAAGGAAACTGCTGCATTGCATTGACAGTTGGCTGGTTTATCAACATGCTGCTTTTCAACCTGAAATATACAATTGTATCAATGAACGAAAAACGTTCACATTGGAAACGTGATCAACTGGCTTTCCCCAATAAAGTTGTATCACTACCTGCAGTCCTATTTCCTTGGCAAAATATTCTCCATTAATTAAGTTTAATGTATTGGAAGTTTGGGTTATACCAGGAATCAGCCCCATAAGAACACTGGGAACAATGTACGATGCAGCCTTTTCGAGGGTAGCTCCATACGTCGTGATAACAGCTTTTTGTATTTTCTTCTCATGCAATACCAAGGCAACTTTAGCCAGGGCTGTACCAAGGTTTAGCCAAGGACCCGTTTCTGGTTTTAGAGCGCCTTGTAACGATGCAGCATTAATCTAAATATTTGAAAATGTTGAGTAGGATAAAGACGGACACATGTCTTCTCTTTGTCTGTTCCTGTCATTCGTATATGGTATGATATGGTATCTAATATGGTATCTATCGTAGATACCATATTAGATACCATATCGTACCACACCATAAAACACAATATGATGGTACAATGCAGTATACCACACCTTACTATACAGTACCATATCATACCCATGTCATACTTTATTACGCCATGCCATGCCACAGTGTATCATACAATTCTAACTACCATGACAATACCATATCGTAACACACATTGTAAAATAACATGTATATAACGCGTGCTCTGATTGGTCGAAACCCGTGTTTGGATCAGGCCATCCAAACATGGAAGACTATCCCGTTGTAGTTATTTTATAAAACAATTACTTTATGGTTTCCGTGTTTGGATGGCCTGATCCAAACACTTGGGAATGTTGCTCGAGTTAAGAAAAGCGCGCAAAATCACTCGCCTTCGGCTCGTGTTTCGCTCGCTTTTCTTAACTCTCGCAACATTCCCGCGTGTTTGGATCAGGCCATCCAAACACGGAAACCATAAAGTAATTGTATAATAACGCACTAAACCATACCATACCATGTATACAATACCATACCCTACACTATTTCATTTTAATTTTCCCTTTTAATCTCACTGCCATTCCATTATCTTATCACATTCAACTGCTTTTTATTGAACAGTCCACCCTCATAGTATTCTAATCTCTTCAAAACCAAGTCGGTATTCATAGTTCTGTGCGTGCTTGTAATAAACTCCTTATTTTGCTTGTAATAAACTCTTTGTGCATTGTAAATTAAAGATGTTTTGAAAACACTTTGGTGAAGACAGGTATACGTTTTAGACGAACATAAACATAGGTTGTGTCAGAAAGAATAACTTACGGCTCCAAATAAAGATTCCCCTTTAGTGACACTGAGTATTTGTTCGGCTATTTCTTTAGCTACTCTCTTCTGAGCCTCGACTGTACTTGCACCAAGATGAGGGCAGCTGACCACGTTTGGATGCTGAACAACTTTCTCTGATATACCTAAGTAGTAGGTAGTGTCAAAAATGAAGAACTATACGCTGGTATCATTTGTGATAGAAAACCAAGCCACTATAACAATGCATGTACTTAGACTTAGTTCTTATAGCAGCAATTTTGGTTAAGAAAAATTCGAATCTGCAACCACCACAAAACATTTTGGCAAAGCAAAATAAATGCCTTAGACAAGGCCATTTTATATACTAGATCAATTTAAACATAAAACGTTCCACGTTTGAAACAGGCCTGGGCATCTTCAAATAGACATTGTCTTCTCGATCGCTACGTTCTCGTTAGTTCATCGAGTACAAATGGAGTTAAACTTTGATGCACACGTTCGCTGCAAATACCTGAGTGGTGACATCACAACTACCTCCCAAAAATGTTCTTATTCTACAACCGGTTGTTCAAAGCACTATCAAACCTGGTTCACACCAGCAATTTTGTCGGCGATTTTGTGTTACTGACGGATGCAAATGAGTGAACTCGCACATGCACAAAAGTATAGAGTCCCTTTTCAGAAGTAAACAATTCCAAGTCTTTTGCATGTCACTCAATCGATCACATTTGTCAGGAGGAGAAAAATCGCCGACAGAATTGCTAGTGTGAACCAGGCTTTAGTGTTGGTTCAAATTTAACCTACTGTTTGGGTTTGTGTGTTTCTACATGTCCGTTAATTTCAAAAATTCAGAAAATGAGACTTCTATTGATGCTGACAAGATTTTCTGGGAAAATATTTCCAAGTTTATGAGCAAGCCGTTGGGAAGTTCGTGGATTAAGCTAACCGGCTTTCAAAGGATAGCATTAAGCTTCTTGAATAGACCTTTCCCCTTTTAAGTGAAATTTTGATCTAGACAAGTCTGGACAAGGGGAAAAGTCTATTGTCCGTTGATTGGTATAATATAGAATAAATGTATTTATGAATTAAAGTTTCTTTTTACACGAGGCTCCATATCCATGGTTATACAACTTTTCAAGCATTTTTAGAAGATTAAAAAAATCACTGTGAGGTGGATATAGCGTTATCCGGCTTTCGTACAACCAGTCCAGCTCAGAAAGAATTCAAAACTGTAGCTGATCAGGTCAATTTAGCACTTACAGAAGGTTCTGATCGTGCTGATGTTTTTCAATCATCAGTAATGTTAAATGATAATAGGATTACCTGTAGGGGGCTCGTTTACAAAGACATCTAAGCCAGCTCCTGCACACTGACCACTCTCAAGAGCTGTTAATAAGCATTCCTCATCTATGATTCCTCCCCGTGCACAGTTTATTACACGAACACCTCTCTTGCACATTGCAAATGTCTTGTCATTTAGTAGCCCTATAAATAGAAACATATCTACAATATATTTGTACTATTTGTAGTTTCATAGTCAAAAATACCGCTGTCAATTTGGCTCCAGCTACGAGATTAATAAAGTCGTCAGTCATGGTGTGAGAAGATGCGAAAATCCAAAAAGCGATAGTCGTACTCGTTCTCGTAGTAAAATCTAAAGCTCTCTAATATTAAAGTCTGTAAAAATCAGTGGGATAAGGGCTCCACTCTACCCAGTATGATATCAGTTCCCACCTTTAGTCTGTGGTATAAGTGGTGTGTGGACTGTCACATAGTCCACAAGAGGCCAGAGTTTTTCCAACTCCATCCACTCCACATTAAACTCCGCTGCCATCTCCGCTGACACCAGAGGATCGTAACCTATTGTCTAAATCATCAAGATCATTATCTTCAGCAAAATATTATTAGACTGTATAGTATTGTATTGTATTGTACTTAATTATAATTATATATATCTTTATTTAGAGTCTAAATAAAGATATAATTTTAGACTACTGTACACTTCTAACATTTCCATCGTATATGTTCTCAGATCGTTTCTAAGCAGTGATTTTTAAATACATCACTTGTTGATGATTAATTAGATACGGTGTCGCAGTTAATGCATGGGTTAAAATCTAACTGTATTTAACTTCGGGTTATACGTTTTTCTGTTATCCTCAAAGATCCAGTGATGACTATTCTTCGTTGACGTTGGTCAAGCGTCAATATGCATGCAGGTAGGAACCCCCCGAGGAAAATTGCGGTGTTTCAAACTGAATTGGAAACATTTTTCTCACTTGGAACAGATACGAAAGTGTATCTACCAGGCATTTTTTAACTATATAAATTTAACTACTGGGGCATTTACCTCAGTAGGCCCCTTGCTTGCCCCAGTAGTGAAGCATGATTTTCAGATGAGCTAGGCCATTTTGATCATTAATAAAAGGTTAACCTTGTTGAAAAAGCTGCATCTGCCTGCTTTCTCATATCATCTCACATTCTCGACATTCCCTCTTATAAAAGTCAGCACAGGCAGCACGCTAAAAGGGGGTTATGGGTGTGGACCACCCCCAATCGTCAGGTAGTATTATCTAATCCCAGTTGGATAGGAAGGAACAGTTGGACAGGAAGAAACTAAAACATTTGATTGACACTGATAAAAATGTAATCATTGTAGCTAAAATTACGGAAAAATTAAACAAACAATGCAAAGTTAACCCAAACGAGAATGAAAAGTCTAAGGTCTGGAAAATGTGTGATGTTGAGCCATGAAAATTTGTGATGTTTAGACCCC